AAAAGATATAAAGATACATGAAATGACTTTAAAGAAGAAAAGTATTTTTAAGTTTAAGTTTAAGTTTAAGTTTATTTTTTTTAACAAAATAATGACTATATATACACAATTTATCACCCTCCCGCAAATAGCATAAAGCTAATCTAGGCGGGAGGCGACATATTACATTAAATAAATATTAGAAGATTTACAAATGAAATATGACGATAAATAAATGAAAAACTAACAGTTTACTTAAAATAAAGAAACGAAAAGGGGAAAAAAAGGAGAAAAAGGGAAAATGATACTAACCAAGTATTGAAAATCAAGAAATAATTATTTATAAATAGTCGCAATATGTAAAGACTCAGTCCGAGACGTTCAAAGTATAATGTAGTCTGTCTACAATAGTSGAAGTGTCAACATAGCTATCTTCTCTTAGGAGAAAATCAGATAGTGTTTTACGTAATATTAACTTAAACTTCTTCTTTTTTAATTTACGCAAATTGCTCGGTATCGTATTCCATAACCTAGCTCCAAATCTTGAGAATGATTTTTTTTGTACTTCCAGTTGAGATTTTTTAATATAGAAATTTMCTGATGATGAGAATCTTGTGTTGTATGAGTGAACACTCGTAGCAAGGGTAAATCGATTTAGAATATTAAGAGGTGCAAGCTTATTTTCAATATCATGCATTAACTGGGCGACCGATTCATAGTAGAGGAAATCAATTGATAGTGTATTAGCTCTGATAAAAAGAGGAATGGCATGTTGGGATCTATCAGTGAAGTACATTAATCTAACATTTTTAAAATGACCCTTTTTTTGATCTGAAGTAATATTTCAAACACTTGAGAGAGTTCTTCCTCCGATTTCCAAACACCGAAAAGTGAGTTGAAAAAACGAGGCGCAGCCGAAAAAATATATAAAATAATGAGTTATTCTTCCGAGGAAAGAAATTCTAGTGACACAGTCTCATCCAGCGATGGTCCTGAAGAATTTTTAAGCCTTTCCTCGGAAGAAGAACTCATTATTTTTGTGTTTTTCTTCCTCGTTTTTCAACTAACATATTTCCGAGTCACGAAAACTAAACTTTAGTACAACTCCTTATTATGGAAATCTATAACGACATACTTACAAACGGGTTAAGAAAAGAACGACTGGGACAACTCATGACAACTATTATCCCGATTTATTTCTGTTAACACGATCTAGATGTCTCTATGTTCTAGAACTGACTGTGGGGTTTGAATCTCAGATCTTTAAAAAAAAACACTAAACAAGCAATAAAAGAAGAAGAAAAAAAAAAACACTCTCAAAAGCTTAAACCTAACTATTAGTTATTTTGTTGTTTTCTCTGATTAATGTTCCACTTTTATAGAAATAATTGACAGACACGCTCTTGTGGCATGTGCTGTTAATTAAATTGATCACACAACGGTTCTGAAACGATTAGTGCTGTGTAAATAAGCTGCAACTTTTGCTGTTAAGATAATTGGATTATTGGAGCAGACGAGAAGACAATAGAACTAAGAGGACTTTTTTTAGTCATATTGATTATTCTATTAATGAGTAAAAACTGGCTTTGGCCGTGTAAAACTTGAACCTTTTCACAAGTACCTATTTTCTCCATTAACGAACCGATCGAAGGCTTGAGAGCAATATAGGCTTAATAAAATACCAAATAAAGCTTCATTATATAATTGACTCCGACGAAGGACTAACGTCCGAAACGTCAGTTTCCAGTTTCTATTTTCACTAAGGTGTTAAACTTACTATTCTACGATAACTTGCTTCATTATATAAGTACCATATCGTGCACAGGCAGCACAAACAAGGTTCCTGTGTATGGTTTATAAGGGAATGTATGGCAGTCACTGGATAAAGTCATTACAATAAAATGTTTCACTCAACAATTTGCCTTTGCTGCAGTTGTTTTTACTTTGTTCAGTCTTCTGGCGAAGTTTCAGGGCGATTTGAGGCCGTTTAGTGTTTTTTTGTTTTTTTTAATCAAAATCCATACTTCTCTTATTTCTTCTCCCTTTTATTTCTTCTCCCGTACATTCCCTTATGAACCATACACAGGAACCTTGTTCGGGCTGCCTGTGTAACATGTTAAGTTATCGGCATGCAAACTCACAAAGCAGCTTTCAAGTTCAAACAAAGACGTCCTACTGGCCTTGGTGAAACAGTGCTTGTTCTAAATAGCAATCAATTAATCTATGCTAATTAATCATGGCAAGTCTGTACAAATTAGCTCTGATTTAGCAATAGAAAGCAATTATGCATTGCTCTGGTGTTTTAAAATATTTCACCAGTGCTGCTTAGCACCAGTGTTAGCTCAATGGTACTGTTTTACATATATTTTGTTTGCACTTAAACTTATAGATATTAGACTGATACACATTGGTAGACCCCAATTCAAATGTTTTCTTTTGTGTCTATTTGACAATCAGAGCGCAGAATTTGTGTTAGGCTTAGGGCAGGCGTCGAACTTTCCATGCACCGAACTCATTTAAAACAATGGATATCAGGTGATAATGAGGCGGCATTCTTTGATGGAATTATGTTTGGTGCATGGAAAGTTCGACGTTTACCCTAGGCCTAAGAGTATTAGTACTAAAGTATAATTATGCTTGTATTGTTCGTATTAACTTAACCTGGTAGACCTTATTTGCTAACTGTGTTAAAATTGTTCTGAAAAGTTTCAGCTTAGCGTTTAGAATTGTATAACTGTGTCTTTGTAAACTAAGCAAAAAAGCGTATGTATGAGTTTGATTATGTATCTGTTCCATGGATCCATGCTTAAGTGGGCTGCATTGCTGCACCCACCTTAATTCGAGTATGGAGGCAAGATACATGAAATGACATTGCCTATACTTTATATTAAATTAGTGTGTGTTCATGTGACCTTTTTTCTACCTGCGGCCTTAAAAGCAGCATCGCATGGGTGGACACTCTGTGCTAAGCACACCTCACCTGGGGAAAGTCAGTGTGTGTGTGGATGTATCTTTAGGGCCTCTTTACGAAGGGAGGGTAACCCTGTCATTAGATCTACCCTAATAAGAAGGTTTCCCTAGCTTACCATGTTGGCTCCATAGGTTAAACCTTCCGCGCGTATTAAGTGTTGCCTTTTAAAGACGTGACTAGGGACAACCCGCCTTCCCGAGTCAACATGTTTTTGGTTGTAAAACCTCTTGTGTTGAAAATAACTTGGCCATTATCACAAAATAGTTAATGAATGGCTGCTGAATAGCAATATTAAGAGGGTAAGATAATTTTTATATTAAAAATTACCATAAGGGTATCCCTACCTATATTATTTCCTCGTAAAGTCGAAATATCTATCTATCTACCCTGCTTGATATAGAGTTACCCTCCATGCCGCTTAAGAGGCCATTGAAGATTAGGAACACCGCACTAATGTTGTTTATGCAAACTCTTATAAATTATTATTACTACATTTCGCATATGTTGGATTGAAATGTGGCTTTGTAAGTCGTAGTAGGGTTTAAAAACCTTGGCTCTCTACGTTGGGTCCTGTGAATCCTTCGTGAGTAGGGCTCGGATTACCGCGTTGAAAAGAACTCTGGCAGTGATCACCTTTAGTGCCAGCAATAAAGTCGGCCTGGCGTAGTGTTCCACAAGGTTACAATCCCCAATGTAAAGAGCCAGGTGTTGAAATTTTACACACCAAAGCCCTGAGCGGTAACCACTGCACCACCTAAGCTCTTCGTGTTAACCATAACAACATCATTTACAACTACAGCTAGTATACCAAAGAAATGTTGCCAGGTGTTGGAATACTACCGATCTCACCGAACTGTGGCAACACGTCAAAATATTGTCTCGCTACCACACCCTAATTCGATTACTGACCTGCCTACTTTTGTTACAGCAGTGCGTTCCATCTTTCACGTAATAATACAGTGAATACCTTACTGGCAATGTGCTAGATCCGAGACAGTGACAAAAGTAGGCTGTTCAGTAGACAACTTTGGGCGTAGTAGCGGGATATTTTTTGACGTGTCGCCACAGTTCAGTGAGATCCGTAGTAACATGTACATGTAATATCTAGGATGGGTGGTTTTATTGTTTAGCCCTTAAAAAAGTTAAACGATATTTGCATTCGTGCGCAAACCTTTTTCTCAGTTTAGGAAACTATTTTAACTTTAATATTGGATTTGCAGCTTGGTAAACCTTCCTGAGTGGTGCAGTTCCTGAGCGGTGCAGTTTGTGTATAGGTATCAGAAACATGTGCTAAGTCATGCCAAATGAAAAAGAAATGCTGGTCGAGTTATCAATGTTTAGTTAGCCATCGGGTTTAAAAGTCACCACACGCAGGAACTAAGCCTACAGGAGGGTTTTTTGATACTTTAATTTAGTTCAGTTTGTAATTTCGTTATGTGTCTTTGCAGTTTTGAGGAAGCAAAATATTAGCATTTTTTCGGTGATTAATAAAAATATACGGTATGCCTGAGGCTCTTGACTTAAGTTGGGGCATTTTCTTCTACCTAATAGAGGGAATTGAAATTGCGCTTCACTATTTGTCGTATAACTCAATAAAAGCATTTGATTTGATCACACTTGTCTCATTTGTTCTCATACCCAATTAGAGTTCAGGGGAAGATCACAAGTGATCCAGATACCCAATTAGAGTTCAGGGGAAGATCACAAGTGATCCAGATA